TACTTGGTATCAGAGCATCGGCTAGGGTTTCTTGAAGCATTCTCATGCAGCCCTAGATCAGCCGACTGCATGAAGTAGTAAAGGGCTGATCGATCTGCTATAGATTGCCCAATTCTTGGAGTTTTTGGTGGGATCTAGTCATCAGAAAGGTGATCTACTGTTCGGCATCAAAATCAGGAAGAACTGGAGTACGGGGAAGACTCCCAAAAAAGGTGGACTCTTTGTTTTTGATCTGATCTTGGGCGCCCAGGTATTGTTAGTTTTCTTTTGATTTTTTGAAGATGGCAGTTTGGTTTCTGGAATTTTCTGGGCCTCCCGGAGTGATCGATTCACTTTTCTCTCTGTTGGGAGGCGTGGGGAGGAGAGAGATTTCCCTCCAGCCATGGTTTAAAGTATCAATACGATGTGCCCCGTATCGGGCGTATCGTATCGTATCTTTTGAAAAAGGTATGGTCCGAAATGCCTGTTTCCAGATGTTTCGGACCCCCAACTTTTTGTAATAATAAAAAACATGTTTTAAGATTCCCAAAAAACCAAAATTTGAAAAAACAAAACTAAAAAAAAGTTGTTTCGGCCGTTTCTAAGTACCGATACGATACGGCCGATATGTGTATCGTATCGATACTTTGAACCTTGCCTCCAGTTAGGGTTTTCTTCTTCCGAAAGGGTTGGTTTTTGTGTGTGTGATATTAAATTATTTTTTGAAGGTCTCCAATCTACTTTTTTCTTACTGTTGAACGGTTTAAAGTAAGATGGAGAGTTGGAATACCGAGATGAAATCTACCGGTACTGTGGGACTAGGTGTTGGATGTAGTAGTGATATTTTTGGGTTTGGGATCATTACTACAGTAAAACTTGATGGCACAAATTATTTGGAGTGGGCACAATCAGCTAAGATAGCTATTGGTGCCCGTGGAAAATTAGGGTATCTCACTAGGGAGGAGAAGAAACCTGATACAGACTCTTCTCGATGGGTGTAGGAGAATTACATGGTAATGTCCTGGCTGTGTAATTCTATGTTACCTCATATTGCAAAAAATTTCCTATGGGCTAATACTGCTAAGGAGATTTGGGATGGAGTGACTGAAACCTACTCTCAGAAGCAAAATGAAGACAGAGCCTATCAATTAAGAAATTAGGTGATAAGTATGAAACAGGGAGAAAAACCTCTTGTTGTGTATTTCTCCATGCTGAAAACCCTATGGCAGGAAATAGATCACTTAGAAATTGTGGTATGGGAAAGTGTAAATGATGCAGCAACTTATCACAGACTGGTAGAGAGGAATAGGGTTTTTGAGTTCTTGGCAGGGCTGAACCCTGAATTTGACATTGCTAGGCAGCATATTCTTTCTAGGGAGGGTGTGACACTCTCTCAAGCCTATGTCTTTGTCTGTGGAGAGGAGAGTAGGAGGAATGTAATGCTGAGACAGCCTGGGATTGACCAGTCGGCTATGGTTGGTACAACAAAACCTAAGCCAAATGGAGACAGGGGGAGTAGTGAGACTAGAAGGGAAGATAAGAAAGACTTGGTGTGTGATTATTGCAAGAAGCCTAAGCATACCAGGGACACTTGTTGAAAGCTTCACCCAAATCTTATGCCCGCTCGGATAAGAAACAAGAAGGGAAATGCAAATGTAGCCACTACAAGAGACTCTTCAGCCCCTCTCTCCCAAACTTATTGGGAATCCATTGTAGTAGCAGCTGTGAGAACAGAATTGGAGAGGTTTGGACAGCTTATGAGTAAGAAAGATTCACCTAGCTCTAGCCTTCCAGATGGACAGCAGAATGCAGGAGCCAACTACACCACTTCCTTTGCACATATAGGTAGTTCATATGCAACTGCAAATCTTGCATCCACTTCAAGTAAGGAGGGACCTCCCTGGGTTATAGACTCAGGAGAATCTGAGCATATGACTAATGCCCCTACCATTTTCAGTTCCTA